ACTGCTCACCCCTGGTGGAGCAGGAGAACCCACCTTACCATGTAATAATTACCATGACAGCACTTGCTGTGTTATTTCTCCACCCATTTATTGTTGGCCATCCTTTCCTGAAAGAGAAAACAGACTTCAGAAAGTTAAGTAACTTGACTAAGGTCTCACAATGTAAGTGAATGGGAGCAGCATCTACCAGCCAGTGCAGGGTGAACTTGGTAATCCTGCCCCCTACTCCCACCCCACCACATTTAAATCCCATCTACTTCCCGGTGGCTCCATGTTCTTAATCTCTGGATGAAAGTTTCCTCTCCCAGGGTTGTTTGGAGCATTAAATTAGCTCCTGTAAGTACAGTGCTTAGAATAGTACCTGGCACACAGTGAGTGCACCATAAACTCTATGCTGCCTCTCCCTGGAGTAGCCACGTCTCAGCATTGACAGTCTATAAGAGAGTCAAGGTCATGGTGGGAACCTCTGTGCCTTTAGCTCAGAGTCATGGCTTCGCGATGTCTTCTGTCACCCATCCAGGTATACTTCCTTGGTCAAGTATGACTCAGAGCGGCATTTCATTGATGACGTGCAGCTGCCCCTGGGCCTGGCCGTGGCCTCCTGCAGCCAGACGGTCACCTGCATCCCCAATTGCACATGGCGCAACTATAAGGCTGAGGTGCGCTTTGAGCCACGCCACAAGCCCACACGCTTCCTCAGCACCACCATCGTCTACCCCAAGTACCCCAAGACCATCTACACCACCACCTTGGATTACGACTGCCGCAAGACGCTGAGGAGGTTTCTGTCCAGCGTGGAGCTCGAAGCCACGGAGTTCCTGGGAAGCGATGACCTCTCAGATGAATGCTGACTTGAGCAGGCTGGGCCGGGGCTGGACCAGCTCTTCCTCTGCCCTGGTCAAGTTGGGTGATGTTGCCCGTTTTTCGTGTCCATTCCAGCCCCTGAGGCATCTGACCTAGAGGGGAAGCCCACCCTGGGAAAGAAAAAAAAAAATCACTGCATCTCATAATGATTGAGATATTTAGGTTTTTGCTTTTTAATGTTCAAGTTGTTTTTAAAAGGAGTCCATTCCCTGGTTTACTGCAGCATAGTTTCTGCAGAGTCTCAATTTGGTGAGAAAATTAAAAGACCACTAGGACCAAAGGGAAATAGCGTAGTTTGACGGAGGGAGGGAAGGAGGAAAGCTCTGCTTCCATTGGTCAGTCTGTCTGACGAGGAGCGTGTAAAAAGTCCCTGCGATGGAAAAAGTGAGTTTTAAGAGATTTTAGCCACAGGTATCTTTACTACTACAAAAGTGGTGCTAATTCAGTAAATTGTGACACCCATATGGGCTCAATCTGGAGGTTTGAGTTCCATTCCACTTTTTTTATTTCCATGTGTATTTCCTGTTAACCAAATCTGTTGGAATTTTCTAAATCTTTTTTCATGATATGAAAAAAATCCCAAACCATATAAGATGACTTTAAAAAAAATAAATAAAAAGGGTTCACCCTGCTCTTGCCTGCTTCTGGAAGGTCACATCGGGGGTGGCCGAGTTTGGAGCCATGGCCTGGGTTGGGGCTCCTTCCACCAGGCTGGCTCCAAGCGCAGGCTGGCCCTGTGCCTTGAACCCTTGGCATCTGGTTAACATCCCCACAGGCTTGTGTAACTTTCCTGATAGGTATTTTGGGGTTTCAAAACACTTTCCCATCTTTTCATGAGGGAAAATGTAGTGGACAGCCCTTTTGAGAGAAACAGCATTTGAAAAGAATGCTTTAGAAAAACACTTTGGGGGACTCTGTGGTGGGGGGTTTTCCACTCGGGATGGGAAGCAAGGCCCTGACTAAGACCTGCTCCCCCTGGGAGGAGGCAGGCATGGATGTTCCTGGTGATCGGTTCATTTTGAGAGCTGTCTGGATTGACTCAGCTTTAAGATTGCGACGGTGTCAGGATTGCAGAAGATTCTGCCAGAGCCTTACGCCTGATCCAAAAAGCAGGGAAGTCTGCACCCAGCTTCCCCCAGCTAAGCTAAGGTGAATTCAGGAGAGGGAATGAGGTCACAATTCAGACTCCAAAATCTGGCCGCTGTAATGAGAGCATATGCTTTTTTCATGCCACTGTGTCAGTGGAAGTGACTATCAGGGCTCTAGTTGTAATCTGAAGATGTTCCCAAAGAAGTTGTGTGAATTCAGCTGAGCTTCCCTGCAGGAGGCTCATGGGCTTCAGCCTGCTCACCCTACTGCCCACCACTGCCAGGCTCCAGCCCTTTCCTCTTAGACCCTTCTGCCAGTCCCTGCACTGTGGTGTTTGAGTAAAGGAAGTGGCAGATGTGTTTTTTTCTTTTTTTTTTTTTTCCTTCCAAACCATAGATATTTCCTTTGAATACATCCAAATTGTGTTAAGTGCTTGAGGGTTACAGAGCATTGTAAGCTCCCAGTCCATCTGTCCTAAAAGCAGAATTGATAGCTCCGTGGGTGCCCTGGAGCCCAGCAGGAACTTTTGTTTTCTATGAAAGCAGGTGTGATGATAATGTGACAATCTCCCTCACTGGAGCCCTGTGGAGCCCTGTTGTCTGGTATCCTCTTCAGACAACAATGTTTAGTCTGTCCTGCTCCTAACTGGTGGGCCCATTCCAGTGTGCAGAGCCTGCAGTCTCTTTCATGGTCCTGAGTTTGCCAGGGACCCAGTGAGTCCTCCCTGCCCCCCCACCTGTGCCATTCTGGGACCCCTTAGTCTCCTCAGTCATCTATGGAGCCACAAATGCTTCTTGCACTTTGGAAGAGCAAATTATGCAGTGTGTATTGTTAAAAATGGACTTTTCTATCTGATTGCATGATTTTGTCATTTAAGGGATAAATATAATTTTTTTAATTTGCCAGGAGAATTCATAAGGCTTTTCTCTGCGCCAGTGGAGACACTTGGAAAAGTCCAGTGGAGTCACTTGGAAAAGTCCAGGACAGTGTTGTGGTTGTCCACAACCTAGCATGTAACAGAGAGGAAGGGGAGAATGCAGCAGGGTTTTGAGATATCTTTAGGAGTTTGGGGTTTTGTTTTTGGTCTTAGGGCAACTGTGTTAAGTTCAGGCAAGTTGTTCTAGGTGTAGAGAGAATCTGAAATCGATAAGTAGAAGTGAGCAATTGTGAATGTGTAGTTCAAGTGGAAAAGCAGGTTGTATTTTGTTAAATTATTCACTAGGGAGACAACTGTAGTCCTTTCTATTCCTCTTTTTCTCCAACTCTGCTTTGCTGACAAGTTATAGGAGAAGCAGCACTTGAAGACAAACAGAAGGCTCTAATGTGGCTCAGATGATGTCAAGCAGTGGATTCGTGTTAGTTTGCAAGGTGGGAGAGGTGAT